TATGAACATCAAATTTGAAGTTTATATAGCTGTTTTATAAGCTAAAAAGATTAGCGAAATCAATAAAAATATATTTTATTTAAAATATAATGGTTAAATTTAATATAATATAAAAATGTCACAGGAAAGCTTAAATTTCAAATTTATTCTAACAATAACATAGTTGCATAGACTGATCATTAGAACCTAAGTAAAAAAAATAACATAGTAGTATAGCTATAGCTGCAGTTGCAGCTATAGCTATCGATCTATTTTATTTCGTTAAAAAATATCTTTAGCATAATTTTTTTAAAAAAACACAAATATCAAAATAAAATCAAATATAATGTACCTATTTAATTATTAATAATTTTGTACATTTCAGATTACAGAAAAAAATTTTAAGTAGTATTTTTTGCAAAAAAAATTCTCTTACTTTTTTTTTATTCAGGTAAAATATAGGGACTAAGCTATTAAAATTACCTTATGGGACCCATTGACTAAATTGAGATTTTTGATTCATATTATTATATGATATATGAACTTTATTTGGTTAAATTTTTATAGTTGATTATCTTTTTAACAAAGCAAGCAATTAGGCTATCAAAATTTCTCATTTTTGTGTAATATCAGCCAAAAAATCTAAAATTAGATTTTAGAAATGATCGATATTAAATTTGGAAATGATCGATATTATTATTTAAAAAGTTAAAAAAAGTTTCAGATCCTTATAAAATTCAAAATTTTTTAACTTTAATTAAAACCATTATTAATAGTTTGAATGTGTGTTTGAATAGGGGTCAGGGGGGTATGAATACCTTCAGAAAAAAATTTTTTTTATTGAAAATTCCTTTTTTTTTTTTTTAGAAAAATTAGTGTAACAATGTCCCGTAAGGTGATTTTAATAGCTATACTCATGATAATTATTATAAAATTAATTAAATATTCTAAATTTAAATATGATCATCATAATACAATCTAAACTAATTAGGCAATTAAATAAATAAAATATCAAATCGTTAACCATAATAATTAAAGTTATAAATATAATTTTTCTTTTATTATATTAAATACATTTATTTAATTGCTAAAAATAACTTTTAATCAAAAAATTTGCAATGTTATTATAACTGAAAATTTTCACAAATTATGCAATTTTTTAATTAAATTTTAGAATTAAGTCCAATTGTTATAAAATTTTCATAAATAAATACTATTTATTATAATACATAAGTTAAAATAAGTTTACTTAGAGTATCAAAGTCAATTTTATTAATAAAAAAATTTTTTTCTTATTAGTTGATTTTAATTATTATTTTAATTTTTAAGTTTTTGATCATTTTTTTAAGAAATGTATAATATTTAATATGAAAGACATATAAATAAAATTTAAACAATCTTGTATAAGTAATATTATTTAACATATTAAAGAAATGATAAATAATATAAAAAAATATATTTATATTAAGGTATTTATTTTAGATTCAGCAAGTGAATATATTGCAGTAAGGTAAAATTTTAATTTAATTATTTCTAATATTTATTAATAATAATATTTAATATATTTATATATATACTAATATTTTTGAGAAGGTAATACTTAAGTAAAATTTTTTTATTTTGTAAATACAAAATGAATCTTATTTTTGATAAAATTTTCAAAGAGCAAGAATTATATTAAAAAATATTAAAAGAAGCAGTTAAATAAGTTAGCTATTTTAATAAATTAGTATTTTTATAGATAATATTCATGATAAATAAATAAAACTTTATATATTTAGTATCTATAGATGATACTAATTAAAATAATTATTGTTTTTATGTTTATTCAATTTTAAATATTTAAGAAATTAAAAGTAAATATTATAATGATATTATCAATTAATACTTAAATGTTGATAATTTCATATTCTAATATTATATTATCTTAGTATATTTCAGCAAAATTTAATTTATATTAGATTAAGATTATATTACAAAATTTACTTTTTTTATGTGATTTTTAAATAAATTACAAAAGAATATTATATGATTATTTGAGATAATATATTATTTTATATATATAATCAAGTATTTAAAGTATATAAAAATCTAAATTTTAAGTTTATGAATAGTAAAAAACTTGAGTATTTAAAAAAAGTAAAAATAATTCTTCTTATTCTTTTTATTATTGCAAATAATAAATTAATATAGACTCATGTTAGCTAATGGTTAAAATATTATTATTAAACTTTTTTACTCATATTTTTTAAAAATTGTAACTAAAAATAATTTTTTATAAAAAAAGTAAAGATTTTTATAATATTGAAAATTTTTCATAATTTAATAATAAATTAGTAAATTATTAGGATTTTATAGATAATATTAAATTAGAATTTGTAAAAGTTATAATTAAGATTACTGAATGAACCTAGAAGTTTTGTAAGTAATCTAAATAGAAAAAGGTAAAATTTAGTAAAATTATATTAAAACTTTAATAAAAAATTAGCAAAATTATAGTTTAGATATTTTGTCAAATCTAAATAAATTTAGATAAGCAACCTTAGTTACAATCAGTGTGTAAAATTTATATGCATAATATGCATATATGCATATTAAATTTTTATATACACATATTACATAGCATAAAATATATACAAATAATTACTAAAAATAGATAAATTATATATAAAAATGGAAATACTATGTAATACATGCATTAATTTTCTATTTTTAGTACAACTTGTATACATGACTTTTGATCTAAATTTTATATACTGATTACAATGCATATTTATAGGATATATGTAAATTTAGGATTAATTAAAAGATTATGAAATAATATAGGTTTTTTTTTTTATATAAATAGATAAAAATAATTAAAGTATTTTAAAAATAAATTATATAAGAATTAATATATAAATGACTTTTATTTAATTAATAATATTATTTATTTAGAATAAAAAGTATTAAAGATGAATTAAATCTGAAGTAATATATTTTAAAAAGGCAAAAAACTTAGATATTAAAGTTTAGCATTTACATAGTTATATCAATTATTAAAAATAACAATTTAAATAATTCTAAATTTAATAATTTATGCGAAAATAATTTGTAAGTTTATAGTGATAAAGAAAGTAAAAATTAAGGTAATAGGAGTAATTTAGTTTTAAATAAATATGTTAAACCTTATACTAAAGAATAGAAGCAAATATAGAATATATTTATTAAAGAGTAAATTGAAATTATTGAACATGAAAATATGTTTGATCATTTTGATAATAAAGTATTATTAACTAATGAAATGAAAAATGATTTTAATTTTAAAGGAAGAGTGTAATTTTACCAATTTTAAATATAATGTTACTTAATTATAAAATTTTATAACATTTTTTAAAATAAAATTACTTATATAGATAAGTAATTAAATTTCTTTAAAATCTGTAATTTCTTAATTATAAGAAATGATTAAGGATTGTTTAACATTCTTAAGTAATAATAATTAAAAAATATTATTTTAATTAATATTTAACTAATAAATGATTTTTTAATTTTAAATTTTAATTAAATTAATTAATAAGATATAATTATATAAATTTAAAATATATTATAAAAATAAGATTATTTTATAATACTTGAAAATATATTATTATATTTATCTCATAAAGTAATATTAAATAATTTTTTTCTATTAAAAAACTATTTTAATTTATTTTTAAAATAATTTTAAAATAAATAATTTATTTAAAGTAAAGTAATTAATATATTTTAAAATTAATATCTTTTAAAATATAATTTTTTATGGTAACTTTAAAAATTTATTGATTTAATTAAATATTTATTTTTAAAAATAAATATTTAATATATAATTTAATATTTTGACAGATAAGTTTTAAATATTTAAAAGATAATTTTAAATTAAAAGCATTAGATAAAAAAACTAAATGTTAAAATTAAAGATGGTCCCCATAATTATTTTTAAATTTCAATTGAGTTGCAACTTAATTGTGCTATAAGGAAATTTAATTGCATCACAAGTTGCAACTCAATTGCGCCATTTTTTTTGATTGCGGTGACTATCTTTAGTTAAAATTATTAATATTTTATGTAATTATAAATAAAAAAAAATAGTAAAAAGAATTATATAAATATATTAATATAATTTTATTATTATGTAAATTATATATATATATAATTAAGTAATTATATGCTTTCAGATTTAAAACTTATTATATAAGTAAAATTTACTTATTATAATATGAAAATATTCATAATTTATTATTATTAATGAGTTATTAAAATAATACTAAAAAATTTTATTTATTTATTAACTAGATAATGTTATACTTCAATTTATAATAATTATAAAGATGATCTTTATAAAGAAAAAAAAAAATATTATTAAATGATATATTAAGTTATCTTTGGCTTAAAACTTAATTAAATTTCAAATTAAAATATGATTTTTATGAAATTTATAAAAATTAGTAAAAATTTAAAATTTTACAGAAGTTAAAACACTATATAAAGAATAATATAGAACTGAAGAATACATTATAAAATTAATGTCAAAATAGTAAAACTTATATAAAATATTACTTATTTATTATAATTTGAACTTAAATATTTCAATTTTATATTTATTATAACAAATAGATTCCATTTATTTTTGCAATAAATTTATTTGAAAACTGTATAATTGAATAACAAAACTAATAAATTAACTTAATTTTTAAAGAAGACCTTCCAAAAGATATAAGAAAAGGAATAAGATTTATAGAGTAATTAGAGAATTTAATAAAAATAATCATGAATCAAAAAAATCTAGAGATAAATGTGATGCGCATAATAAAATAATTATATCCTTTTTTTTGTGCTATTATGTTATTTAATAAACTTTTATTTCATCCAAAGAATTATTTGGATAGATTATAAATTTTATTTTATTTTTTTTTTCATCCAAAAAATAATAGTAATTACAAGGAAAATTTCATGAAGGAAATGAAAAATAAGAGGATATTAATTGGGAACATGATAAAATTCTAATTTACTATAATAAGATAATATTCAGTGATGCCAGCAGTTGTTGGAAATGGAGACTGAGTTAACTCTGAAAAAAAAACAAGTAAGTCGTCGCACATCATTCTTTATTTATATTTTCATTTTTTAAAGTATTATGCAACAACTTTAATAACTTGTTCATGATGATCAAATTTTGACTTAAGGAAATTTATCAAGTAATCTTTTTTCAGATTTCTTTCTGGTTTTAATGCTTCTTGGAAGCAAGTGAATCTATAGTTTCACTGAATCGAATTGTACAGAAAACGCTCCAGAGGATATGCCCAATCTCATCCAAGCGATGTTCAAACATATGAAGAGCATCAATGATAACACTATCCTTTAAAATGAATCCCAAACTTATAAGATCGTTAAGACGTGAAATTACATTGGAAACGGTTGGGCAAACCCAATCAGAACTTGGTGCTGATGGAAAAAGGATAAGCAATGCTCCACGCAATACTAAATCATTAAGATCATCACAGATTTCTTCATAACCAATTTGTTTTCATAAATTTACCAAATCGGGGTGGATAAGTATTGCTCTCGCAATTACGGTTAATTGTCTACGATTTTTATAACCATCTTTGGGAGGGTATTCTTCCAGAAGTAGTTGCTGAATGGATTTTGGCCTGGGTGGAAATGGAATGAACTTTTGATTCAAAATCAAATCTTCGATGTCTTTTAAATTCTTCCGCAGCATTCCAGGTGCGAAATTGATCACGTGAGGACCAGCTGAAAGGAAATGGAATAGTTTCAGATCATTTCCTTTTAAAGGAACTGCATTTCCTAATTGATTGCATCCTTCATTTAATAAATAAAGGAATACTGGTAAAGATAAATTGCTGGCCCATGGTGATTTGATTTTTTGCTGGTATGCACAGATTCTATTGGCGTCAAGTTGATTAACGTTTTCATTTTTCAGATCTATCAACTTTTGATCGTACTTTCCGAAATTCATTAATAACCTTTGAACGAAGTATCTCGAAATGATGACCTTACTTGTAAGTAAATTTTGACATACTGGGATGTTAAGAAAACTTGGTCCCAACTTGACGGCAACAAATAACGCATGAGATTTTCCTGAACGAGCCAAGAGCCATTCCGTTTTAGCATATGGGTCTTTTGCAACAGCTGCCCAAGTTTTACAAGAACGAGCTAAATTAAAAGGATGATCAACATGTTTAAAAATATTTATTTTAATTTCGTCTTCCAGATATTGAAAATATGAATCTAATCTATACATAATGATAAAAAAAAAATATAAATAAAAATTTTAAATTTAAAGCCACTATGAAAAAAATGTTGAGGATTTATTCAAAACCACTATTTTCTTCCAAAAAGTGAAACAAAACAAAGAATCAAAATAATAAGAAATTTTAAATTTATATTTCTAAATGAAAAGGAAATAGTCATGTGTATTATTTTAGGGAATTCCATTTGTTATATTTACTAATAATCGTTAGAAGGTAATTTATATAATTTATCACTGAGAATTTTTGACTTTTATTTAATAAAAAAAAACTTGTGTACAGTCAACCCTCTCTAAATGCACCTCCTCGGGACCATAGTGAAAATTTTAAAAAATGTGCATTTAAAGAGGATGTGCATTTAAAGAGAAAATATATAGTGTGTGCATTTAGAGAGGGTGTATTTAGAGAGGGTTGACTGTATATAATAAAAAAAAAGCCTTTTATAATGAAAAAAACTAGTGTAACAGTGACGCTTAGGTTATCTGTATAAACATATTTTATTGAATGTCTGTGTAACGTCACGTGATATTATCCTCTTATCTAGTTCTTATCTTATTTCATATACATTCACAAAATAGGTCACACAAGATTCCTTTTTGAATATTTGTTTAACGTCACGTGATCTACCCGTTGCTAAACATCGGGTTAGCAGCTAGTGAAAAATAAATGTAAGAAAAAGGTATATTCAAATTGTCGTGTATTTTGCTGTCTTACAAAGCCCATTCTCGAAATTCATAAAAAAATTATATTTTTCATACTATCAGATTACTTTTAATAAAAATCTTTTTAAAAAAAATTTTAGGTTATCATAATTAGATTCTGCCCGAAAACTAAATATTATTTATAAAGATTGTATTTTTTTTTTCGTCCAACTAATAATTAAAATCGTCCAAGTTTCACTTTTTTATTTTAATTACAAAGTCGGATGAATTCCAAAAGAAAATGCTCCTGATTAAGAACAAAGTGAAAGTTTTTTATAGATGATAAAGATAAAGAATATTTTGAATGAATAAAGTTCTCATTGAAAATAAAACTTTATCTATCCTTATTTGTAATCCTATTATATGAATGAAAAAAACAAAACTTTCGGAGTTCATTGAACGAACGCGGTAAATTTTTATTCTGATCACGTGAAATGAATGTTGCGTAAATTCTATTGGTTCACAATCTGATTTTGTAATCGCGTAAAAAATAATTAAGATATACTGTATATAAAAAAAAAATTTTAATTTTAAAGACGGGAATCGATGTAAAAATTCACTCAATAAGATTTTTGGAATCACATGAACATGAAAATACGATTATTTATAGCAGATTATCATTAATATTTCATTCTACTTCCCTTCGACATATGTATGCCACATTTTTAAAAATAAATGTATGTAATTATTATGAAATATGTAGAGTAGAATGCATTTTATATTAAAAACGAGCAAGTTACGAATTCTATATAAACGATCTGCTTGTTGATAGCACTCGGTCTCGCTGATAAGTCTCAGCATATAACTTTTCAAATGATTCCCGTATGCAATTGCCACAACTTTTCTCGTTTGCCGATCCTTCCATTATTATCGTCCGTTCCCCTAAAAATCGAACAATCTATGTAACTAGTTTATAATTGTGCTTAATATCATGTCTGGACGATTATATTAAATATGAATTCTACATGGGTATACATCCCATGCGTAGTTTTTTTTGATGCGCAATCCATATGATCATGTGCATGATCATTTATTAGACTTTAAATAAATCAATTGTTTAATCAATTGTATAGTACCTACACTTCTTTTCTTTCTCTCGCTTCTTTTTATTCTCTCTTTCCCTATTTTTTTTTTTTTTTTATAAATCTTATTGTTGAATATCCTTAAAATGAGCGTTTCAGAATCACTTTCAAGTGATAATTCAGATTTCAGATAATGAAAATTTTCCTAACGATTTTATCGAAAATATTCTTGATAGTGAAAGTAGGCGTCCAAAAGGAAGAC